AAAAAAATTAGCTGTATGCTAAATAAAAGAAAAAAGAAAATAAGTAATACCCTGAACATCAAATAAGTAATACCATAAAAAAAAAAAAACAGAGAATTTATATACCCAAAACTGTGTAAAAAAGTATCCAAATTTTACACATAGCCAAGATATCTCAAACTTTTACAATATAAAAAAAACAAATCTTAAAAAAGTAAGTCATCCTTCTCACTTTTTTTTTTTTAAATTCAAGATGTTCGTCCCTCCTCAAACCATAATAGAAAATCACACGTGTGTGCACTTATTTCTTTTCTCTCAATTCCTTTTACACATAGCCCGGATATCTCAAAGTTTAAAATATAAAAAAACAAACTTTGAAAAGTAAGTCATCCTTCTCACTTTTTTTTAATGAATTCAAGATGTTCATCACTCTTCAAACCATAATAGAAAATAACACGTGTGTGCACTTATTTCTTTTCTCTCAATTCCATACATGGTCAAGATACCTTCCATTTAAAAAAAAACAATCCAGTGAAAAAAAATGTACATCATCATCCTCCTAAACTTTTATCATGAATGACTGTTTTAGGTTGTTTTTTTAAACACATTTTTTAATAAAAAAAAATCTTCAAATAATATAAAAATAATTCAGAAAAGAAAACATGTACACTTTGTCTTTTCTCTTAATGTTAAAACAAAATATTCATATTTTACACATCAAGATATTTCATATCTTAAAAAAACAATTAAGTATTTTAAAAAGAAGTACATCTTTCTCAAAAGCATTTTTTTTTTAAATTAAGGTTTCTGTCACAACATTTTCTAATGAAAGTAAAACAGCGAAAAAAAAAATCAGAAATACTTGTTCTTTTCTTTAAATTTAAGAAGATTAATTTTTTTTAAGGGATTTTAATCTAGTATTATCTGACACTCGATCATCTTTCTGTGGTGACAGTAAGGGGGCGCTTGATTTTACCGTGCCTGGGGTTGACGCTAGTGACGGAGGATGCTGTGGCGACAGTGCAGGAGCACTTGAAGTTACCGTGCTTGGAGTTGACGCTAATGGCAGAGGGGTGTGCAGGAGGTTCATAGCAATTACATTGGCTTCTGGCACGTATGCAGGGTTTAAAGGGACTTGTCCAGGTGATAGTGATGACTGTTCTGTTGTTTGTGGTTGTGTTGATGGTTGTGTAGGTTTCATGCAACATCGAAGACATCTCGACTTTGGAAACAACAGTCTTTTAATAGTAATCAGTATAATTGCTATGGAGGTAGCAAGTGCCCAACCAAAGAAACCTATGAAAATAAAAAAAAATCACCCATTTGCCACTACATGTACTTATATGTTATCTGATGCATTAATAAAAGATACAGCATGGATTCTGTTGAAATCTGTTTCAGATCATTTGCCTGGTTGTTTTGCAGATTACAACATCTTAATCTTTTATATAGATTGATTTTTAGAAACATGATTTATCTTTTTTTCTGATTATCTTCGATAAAATAAACAGACTTATTAAAATAAAAATACAAACTACCATATTTATTGACAAAAGGATGGTCACATACTGACCTGTTGTACCAGGCTCGTCAAAGAGGTTGTTGTCCTGCACACTCATGTCTGCAATACAATAAAAACTTTTATTTTGATCATGTAAAGAAAATCAAGAAATTTGTGAACTAATTCTCATTAATGACAACCATTCGATTTGTACAAAAAAATGAATCCCATCATCCTAATATGAGAACCTAGCATATCTATCAGATGGTTCTGCAAAATGGTAGTGCAACATATAACATCTAAACTTCAAAATTACTTAAGAATAATTTTTTTTTTAAATATATACAAGTACAACAAACTTATTTTTTTTACCTTGGGTATACACTGAACGTGTGTGTGTCCTCTTCATTGCTCCACCAAGTTGTATGGTTGGGGCAACAGTTACTGTTCCACCAGGCTGGGAACTTGTGGGGACATCTGTTGTAGAAAAAAAAATGTTGTGTGTTACTTAAAAAATATAATTTTTTTAAATATATACAGAGGTCCAGCACAATCTCTTGGTTAAGCTATATAGCTTTAAATAGCTATATAGCTTGATAAAGCTATTTATATGCAGGTTTTCACAAAAATGTTATTTGTACAAAATAGACAAAAAGTCGCAAGTATTTCACTATTCATATATGTAATATGGGTTATCAAATCAACAACCCAAATCAAAGATAGTTCTAACATTGCAGCATATGAATACTTTTAAGCAAAAGATGAATTTCCATTGTTTGGGTAACTGTACACTACCTTCTGTGCGTTGAGGCATGGATAAGTATGATTGCTTCTCATTGTACTGAATTATTACCAATCAATTATCTTGTTGACCATAATTGGCCTCGTTTATAATTTCATTGAAGAAGTTACTGTATCGATTGCTTTATATAGCCCCAAAACTTTTAGAACTTTGAGTACAAAGTCTCTTAAGGAGACACAATTTGATGAGTGATTTTTACATGCATTATTTTCATAAGAGTTCACGGTTGAATATCATCACTGCACCAAGGTGCGACTTTTTGTACATACTTGGAAATTAACACATTTGAGAAAAAAGTCTGATAAAATAGCTAAATCAAGCTATTCTGAATAGCTTAATAAAGCTATATAGCTTAATCAAGAGATTGTGGCAGACCTGATACAAGTACAACAAACTTAATTTTTTTTTTACCTTGGGTAAACACTGAACGTGTGTGTGTCCTCTTCATTGCTCAACCAAGTTGTATAGTTGGGGCAACAGTTACTGTTCCACCAGGCTGGGAATTGTGGGGACATCTGTTGTAGAAAAAAATGTTTGTGTTACTTAAAAAAAACAATTTTTAAAAAAAAAATATACAAGTACAATAAACTTCATAATTTTTTTTTACCTTGGGTAAACACTGAACGTGTGTCCTCTTTATTGTTCCACCAGGCTGGGGAATTCTTGGGGCATCTGTTGTAGAAAAAAAATGTGTGTTACTTAAATGAAAAAACAATTTTTTTAAAAATATAAATGTAAATTCAGTAGGTAAACTAAAATATATTACAATAACCTTTTTAAAAAAAAAAAAAAAAATTCATGTCAAGCCTTGGGACATTCGGATCTCGCGGAATTATTCCTATAGTTTATGTATACACAGTACAGATATTTACCCTAGTTTAATTAGCTACATTAACAATACACAGAAGGAATGCCTTCGTGAAACGGGTTGGGACTAATCGACTAAATAGGTTTAAATATTCCGTAAGTATATATCCCATTTGTGGTATTAATGTAATTAACGGGTCTATACGACGATTTCATTTGTTCAAAGGATAATGAAAAATGTGAAATGCCGGAGTTGTTCCGGATGTATGGTAAAGGGAACGTTTCAAAGTTCATATTCACATTCCCTGCACGTATTTCGAACCCGATCTCAAGGATTGTCCGGTTAAATTTCTTTTCTTATTAATATCTGCAAAGTTATATAAAATCACACTGGGACCCTATAATTATTTGATAACATTGCCTCAAAACTTTTACGGAAGTAGTAAGAAACACTCACAACTGAAAGCTTGCACCTAAAAAAACAATAATGCTAATTTTTTTTTTCTTCATATATGCAAATAAATAATACTCACCTTCACAGACATTGCCGTTTCGGTCCCGTATAACAGGATGACGGATGGGCCATCCGATGGGTAGCCCAACAATGCGGGTTTTGCAGTCAAAAACCCGGATTCACGCACGTTATTTACTCCTTGGATGAACACACATTCATATGAAACGTGTTTGCAGTTAAAAACACCTAAGAATCCAACACAAGGTTTACACTGACTATCTCCGTAAACTACTCCAGTAAATCTTAAAAACACGAAGACCAACACCTTTATTGCGGCCATTACACCTTTCTCCTTCCAGGTCTCCATCCTCAACTGGCGCGAATTCTGCACGGATTTTCGGTCACGTGATGGGGTATACGACAAAACGATGGAGACCAAAACATTCATTAATAAAAAAAAATGTATTTATTTATTTTATCAATTAAGGACCCTCATGTAGACATACACATAATTACTAAGTTGAAAGAGTGGTGTAATTTAAAATCTCGATAAAATGCGTTATTTTATTCGCATGTTAACACGGATCAGGTCCGTGGTGGGGGAGGGGAAAGGGGGGGGGGGGGCAGCCATAAATTCTCAGCTGTTGGGCACTATCAACGACCAAAAATTCATTGACAAGCAAAAAAAAAAGTCATCAGACGTTTTTATTGAGGGGTCACAAGCATATAGTAGCTATTTTTTCTATAGTAATCTATATATCAGCAAAATTATTTAGGGGGGGGGGGCACTGAATCTTTCATGAGATTCTCTTATCCATCATTTATTAATCAAAACAATCTTTTTTTTTTATAGAGACAATGGTTTGATACGTCAACCTGATAAACACACTCGTATGATAACACTATGATAACACAATTTAATATCTAATATAGGAAATTGAATCCTAATTTTTTTATCCGCAATCGATGTATATATATGTTGTACACGATATAAAATATTTTTCGTGTAGGTAGATAAAAATAATTTACTGCTGCATTACATGACTTATTTAATTTGTTTTATACCACATGTACAATACATAGTTCTATACTTAATATATGGAAAACAATGACCTAAGTACTTTACACAGCCGAGTAAATATGATAAATTGAATTAAAAAGAGGTCACATTAAGGTACAGGTGTAGAAAATTAGAACAATTATTATAAATAAACATAATATCTTCAACACGATTTCACCTGATTAAAGACACAGTGAATGCGCAGATCACGCAGGTGTGTCGCGCAGATATGTCACGACGCAGCGGTAGTTTTAAAAAAAAAATTATATGTATCAAAAATATCGTAAAATCACGAATTAGGATCACACCCAAAAGCGAATACCTTTAAATACGAGCTGTTTCCTTCACTCTACCATCAGCAGAATAATTACCACTAAGCTTAGGACAACCCAACATAATGGCACAGAAGTATCTGGACATGATGTAAGTTTATTTTTTTTTTCTATTTCAATTTCAAAATTTTGTAAAACTAATAATATGTATCTTAAGTATGAAAAAATAAAGCATTAAATTTAATTTAAAAAAATTTCGATCTTTTGTGATCATCTTTGATAATATATTATATAAATACTCCATTGTATTTTGTTAGACTTTTTAAACATTAATTTTGGGTTTTAAAAAATATTAAGGTTACATTAATTTTTTTTAAAAGGGAACAGGAAAAGGCTAGGACCTTTCAAGATTTCGAGGATGAATGGGTTGCGCTTGGAGAAGAGCTCTGTGTTCATGTCTTTCAACCAGGCTATATATCCTTTAAAATGTTTAATGATAGGAAAGTTAAGTATAAATTCCACAAAAATAATAAAAAATAAAATAATTTTTTTAATAAGAGAAATATTATTATTTAAAATAAGTTACAAGTATTTTATATTATTACATGTATAAGAAAACCACACTTTTTTAAATATAAAACTAAACATTGATATTAATATAGAAATTCCAAAGAAGAGGAAAATGCCACTAGCCAACCCCCTCTCTCTCGAAAAAGAAAATTAACAGAGTCGTCGGACTCATACATTTTAAGCCAAAGGTATGTTTTATTTTTATGGATTGTTAACAGTTATTTAATATATATGTTAATGCGTAATTGTTTATCTGTTATACCTTATTCAAACATTTCGTTTTGAGACATACTACATGTATTACCTTAAATTTCAACCAGGTCTTAACGTAGCATTTTGAGTTTGTAAATATTTGATTTATTTACAAAAGACTAAAGCAACATAAGAGAACGGATAAGGAAAATATCATCATCACCAATATAAGGTAACATATGGCTATTTGTGTGTGTGTGTTTTCATTTTTACAATTATTTTTCTATTTTTATTAATATACTAAAGTACATATAATACAAGTGAATAAATTTCCAACTTTTGAATTTATTTTGCCTTATAAATAATAGCTATTATTACTTGATCAAATCTTAAGAAAAAAAACAACAACAAACCCCATAAAAAGTCGTGTTAATTTTAATTATTCAGAAAAGAGGACCCTATGAAGTTTGAAAAGTTGGAAGAAAGAATACGGGGGAATGGAACCCCTGGATATTTGGAAACTTCTAGGGGTTTTAAAACCACTACGGCAATTGTTGGGTACCCCTCTCAGTCACCACCAGAATGCAACACAGGATTTAATACCGCCGCAGCAACAACTACTAAGTCTCGGTCGCCTCAGTCACCACCAGAATACAACACAAGATTTTATATATACCGCTGCAACAACAACTACTGAGTACCCCTCTCGGTCGCCTCAGTCATCACTAGAATACAACACAGGATTTAATACCGCCGCAACAAGAACTACTGAGTACCCCTCTCGGTCTCCTCAGGCATCACCAGAATGCAGCTCAGGATTTAATACCGTCAAACGACAACAAATAGCGGGTGCCCCCCCCCCCCCCCCCAGTCGCCTGAATATAAGACTGTGAATTTTGCACGTTTAGCCTGTGGTGTCAATCCCCTTCAAAGGGAATTAGATGCTTTAAACGAGTTGATTGACTCTATGAGAGTTGACCTTTTGCAAACATCAATGCTCATCGACTATGTTAAAGATTTTTTAAAGAATTATGAATTTTAATTTTCAATTGAGTATCCCTCTAAATGTTTTTTTTTTGGTATTTTTATTGAAAAGCACTACGTATCGTGTGCGTTGTGCACCATTGTGTACATTGTATACAATGCCATAAAAAATATTTACTCTGGCACATAAAAATGTTAATTATAAATTATAATTTAAAATAATTATCCCCCTAAGTGTTTTCTTTGTATTTTATTGAAAATGTGTACATTATATACCATACCATAGAAAGTTAAGGCTTGCAACTTAGTATGAAACACATATATCTTAGATTTACTCTTATTTATGTATTCGGAGAAACTTATGTTGTCTGTTGATATTCAGTGTTTTTTTTTGTATTGCTTACAGTATCGATAATAAATATTCTACAAATGTTCACATACCTTTTGTCAAGTTTCTAGCATTAGAACTCGTTCATTAATAATTTATCCCGAAAACGCTTGCTGCATTTTATACTGAATCGCACTCAGGGTGTAACTGTTAACGCCCATACTATAATAGAAGTTACAGTGGTTGTTATCATTTAATATTGTGGGTGTAACCGTTACACCCATAATATAGAATGTCACATAGTGGTTATCATCTAAAATATAGGACGTCATATATTGGGTGTGTCTGTAAACGCCTCACCCTTGACTGTGAACTATCTCATGAGGTCAGTGACTGTAGACTCACTCTTTGCACTAAGGTAACCCATAACGTCATTGACTGTAGACTCCTTGACTGTAGACTCACTCTTTGCACTAAGGGAACCCATGACGTCATTGACTGTAAACTCCACCCTTGACTGTGACCTCTATTTTGACCTTTGTGGGGGAGGGTCTATGGAAAAACCCATGACGTCATACTGACTGTTCTCTGTCCCCCTTACTACTATTATTTAAAAAAACCTGTAAATTAAAAGTGTAAATAAAGACTTATTAGAAATGGCACGAATTGCCGACGTGGGCACAGTGACTTCCCCTGGAGAGAGAGAGAGAAAAAAAAATGTTACATTGAAATAAAATATCAGCCTGTAAAAAAAATTGTGAAGGATTAATATAATATTAAAAGTAAAACCTGTCTCCTGGTGGTCTTGCCTTCACCTGAAAAAAAGGCTTAGACTGTTGAAAAAAGGGGGAGGATGGGGGGATAGAGCCGTGAAAGAGAAAAAAATATTTACCATAGGTGGTCAAATCAATCCAGTGGGAGATCAAGACCATACGAGTTGTCCCGGTGTCATCTGCTCTAAAAAAAAACAGTAATTTAATACCTTACACAAAGAGGTCGTTAAATAATAATGTTTTAAATAATTTAAAAAAAATAACATCACGTGTAGTGGATTGAGGCTGACTGTGTTTTTATAAAAGGAGTGAGAATTTTTACCTAAATATTTATGAAAGATACTCCCTCTCCCAAAGAGAGAGAGAGAGAGAGAGAGATCTTACCATCGGCGTCCTTGTGGTCTCGTGAAATATCCACTACAAACAAAAAATTAGTCAGGTACCGAGAATTAAAAGGTTACTCCCGGGTGCCGATTTCAAATTCGGCATGGAAGAAAACATTTCCCCTAACCTAAAAAAACGAATGCATTCACATTCACCTTTCCAATTCACACCCCCCTCACAACACACCGTCAGTTGTGTGCATTCTGGGGTGGCAGACAACATTCCAGAGAGCAAGAGAGAGAACACAGAAACTGTCAAGACTATGTTCAACGCCATCTTGCATAAGTACTAGGTTGATCATTTTTTGACAAAGGGGCGGGGGAAGCAACATCAGAAGTTACAACGCGCGCGCGAGACAGAGAGCACACACACTCATTTTTTTTCATTTGTTCAAGCTACCCCCTTTTTAATGATTTCCATTTAAAATGGGGAGGGATGATCCCCTCCCCCATTTCTCTCTGATTTCCATTCCCAACGGGGAAAAAACGGGACGGCGGTATATAAATATATTTTTTCTTTTAAAAACATCAACAACCAGACAAATGACTAATTATTTTAGTTTTTCTTCTAAAAAAAAATAGGATATGGTTTTTCAATGCCCATATTGCCCGAGAAGGTTTAAAAATGAGGAAACTTTCCGATTTCATAAATATACCCACGAAAGAAGGGAAGAATTAAAATCCTCATTCCAGCTAAATTACGGAGAATTGTTAAAGAAGAAGAAAACGAAGAGGTCCTTTTAACTCAAAAATGTAAATGGTGTGGTGCCGTATTTCTCGAAAATGATGAACTTTTTCGATTTCATGTCATGAAGATGTAAACGTTGATTTTAATAACAACGAAGGAAGTTTGGGTTCAATTAATATATTGTATATTCCATCATAGTGATATGTACAGGTCATTTCATATGTAGTTCTGTAAATAAAATATTTAATAAATAATTCACAGACAAACAAACATACACAAACATCACACAAAACACTGAATTTTCTGGCTAAGGGAAATAACTCCATTTTCCTCATAACTTTAAGGATCATCATAAAATAATCATTTCAAGCATTATATTATGCAATTCATTATCATAAAATAATTTACTTTTCACAATAAATATTTCCATTCAAAGTATTCAAATGAAATTCTATTTACAACACAAATAGACATCACAATATACACAAACTTCACTAAACACAAATCTTACCAAATATATGGTATATGAACCTGATCTTTCCTGATCCTTAATTTCTCAGTCAGTCATAACTATAATAAATTATCACAATGTAAGTCTGACTGATTATTGGCAAAATATATTTAAAACTCATAAAAAAATAATATTTTACAGAAATCTCATTCACATAACCTTCACACATCATGCTCATAATTAACAATGTTAAAATGTTATTAAACTGAGCTGCTTAGTATATTGTCCGTAAGTCCATAGGTCTGGTATACAAATTGTCAGTAAATTATTTTGGAATTTTTTGATTCAGTAAAAATACACTGCTCACTAGTCTACTAAGGATCTTTTTTGAATGTCTAAAAATTAATTAAATAGTGAGCTTCTCACCAGAGTAGCCAATCAAAAACCTGGGTTCACCCATGCATGAAAAGCATGATTGACTTAATGGGATACACTATGGAAAAGCCTTAGTGTAATAAATATATACAAACGCTCTTACTTAATACTATTTAAAGTATGGAAATACATTATGGACAAAAATTAAAACAATAAGTCAATGCTGTATTTTTATTAGATAATATCTTTATTAATAAAAACACACAGTCACATTCTTCCCCTGCTGCGAAAAATGTTGTCCCCAACATTCAGCTTTCAATTGGTTATCTACAAGGAAAAATGTATTTAGTCATAAAATCAGAATAAAATATTAATGTACTTCAGGCATAAAACTATAACTATCATGGACTTATGACTTATTACTTATCTAATATGACATTTATCATGGCTTTAGATAGATCCTTCTTGTTAATCCCTTCAAATATTTCTGTATTTGCCAGTGCTAATAAAGTGTCTATTTTGTTCTTCCATTCTGGTTGTTGGCTGTTTGTTGTAACTTGATTATTGATGGTAAATTCTCCGGTGGTCATCCACCTTGGTCTCTTCCTGGGTCTCAATGGTCTTGTTTGTCTAGTAGATGCAGTTGTGTCTTCTGCTTCAGTCTCTGTGTTTTCCGTATCACTCATTTCTTTATTGGTCACTACCGGTAGTGTCTCTTGGTTCAGTATGATGAACTTCTCCTGGGTCTGTCTGATCAGTGGTACCTTCAATCTCTTGTACTCTGTCTTCATCTATTGTACTATGCTCGAACTGTACTCGTTCTGTATCCTTTGACATGTGACCTTGTCTTTGTTTTCAATCCGCAGTAGAACTGTCTGGTCTCTTTGTGATTCCTGGATATCAGTTGTACTGGTGTCGTGATTTACAACCACTACTGATTCCGTTACAACCACTACTGATTCCGTCACAAATTCATCTTTTGACTCACTGCTGTCACTCTCTATTTGTTGTTTCTGTTGTTTAAAAGCTCTGGTTTTGATTCGACGCGGTGCTGGTTTCGGTTTCGACAAATCCTGCTCTGTGGTGTCGATGTTCTGGAATGGTAACAGTAAGTTTCTGTGTAATGTTCTTCTTCTTTCGCTTTTACTAACAATGAATACCGGAATGGCTGGGTTAGGTTGTTCTATAACATCATATGGTGTTTCTTCCCATTTATCTGATAGTTTATGTTTCCCTTCAAATGCTACTCTCTTCACTAAAACTTTATCTCCTGGTCTTATTTCTGTGTGTCTTGCCTTTAAGTCGTATTGATGTTTCTGTTTCTGTTGTGACTTTTCGATGAACTCTTCGGCAACTCTATACGATTCTTTTAAATTAGCTTTTAGGTTTTTGATATACTGATCCATGCTGTTTTCATCTGTTTCTGGTAGGCCAAAAATAATATCTGCTGGTAGTTTTGGTTCTCTGCCAAACATTAAATAGAATGGTGAAAATCCTGTCTTGTCTTGTTGAATTGTAGGCATGTACTATTGTTGAGATGTAAGTTTTCCAGTCTGCTTTTTGAGTTGTTTCCAGGGTTCCTAACATTTTCAGTAAAGTCCTGATGAAACGTTCACACACACCGTTCCCCATTGGATGATATCGTGTTGTTCTGCTTTTCTTGATGTCCAAAATTTTAGAAAGTTCCGAAATGATTTGAGATTCAAATTGAGGTCCCTGGTCGCTGTGAATTTTGTGTGGAATTCCGTAATGAAGTATGAAATTTCTAAATAAAGTCTCTGCAGTAGTTTTGGCAGTTTGATTTTTGGTCGGAATGGCTTGAGCAAATTTGGTGAAGTGGTCAGTAATTACGAGTATGCTATTATATCCTCCTTTCGATGTTTCTAGGGTTAAATAATCCATGCACAGAATTTCTAATGGGTGGTGTGATGTTGTATTTACTAGTGGTGCTCTCTCTGTTGTTGATTTTCTTAAAATGCATCTTTTACAATTCCTAATGTAATTCTCAATGTCATTTCCCATACTTCTCCAGTAAATTCTGTCTCTTTTTAGAGCAATGG